GACCCTAAATGTTGGCGTGCAGGTCATTTCATGATAAAAGCTTTGCTTTTTGTTTTATTGTCCGTAACTGATTAGAAACACGACGTAAATATTATCACGAGTGTCGGTACCAAAAATGTCACGCGTTGTAGGGAAGGGGGCTGAATTGACATAGTTCAGGCGCTGCATGTGACTCTACAATGCAATTGGCCTGCTATGCGTTGGCCCCTGAGATACCACTTAAGCAAAGAGCACCCTAAACATCTATAAAAGGGCGCGGCTAAAGTTGTATATCCTCAACAACCAAATTTTGTTTGTCCCCCTTTTAGTAGTCTACTTTCATCCATTGTATTCCACTTCACACTTCTCATTTCACTCTACTGAAGGGTAGCAATGGACCCGAATATGAAATTTATTTTTATAATCTTCAACCCCCTTCCAACTTCAATTGCAGTCTCATCACTAGAGTGTTCACACAAATACCAAGTTCTTGGGAGCCAAATAGCAGCCAATGGGTTGCATGATGTTCGAGAAGATCTCGTTATTTCAATGAGATGTTCGAGAAGGCCTTGCTACATCAATTATTTTGGAGTTCGAAACGATCATCTCTGTATTCTCATTAGACACGTAATTAAGTGTCTAAAAAATTTAATATGTAGGGGGGAGGAATTATTGTTTGGGCCAAGGGCAATAGCACAAACAAGAGAAAGGCAAAGGTTTATCGTATCTCAACTAGTTCCTATATCACTGTATAACAGGATGTAAAATCACTAGTTGTAATAACAATAGCTGTAACATATTGTAATACACACCTAACAGGTTGTAACTCATTCTGTACTCTTCATTATGACTATTTGTTGCATTATAAAACTTACATTGAACATGGGTAAGTAGTTGTCCCTAGTACTATCATATTTATCGGCGAAACAATTACCAACATGTGGTCATGTGATACTATTAGGACACCATAATGCGTTTTAATAGTAACATATACCTATTCAAGTGCCTCTGTTTGCCAATTGTATTACTCTTCTTAATACAATTTTAACCCACTTGTCTAAATTTGAACGGAGTGAAACATCGAAGGTGCCTGTACAACCACATGAATAAATTGTAACATATTAAAGGTTTATTCGGTCTCTTGACAACCATATTAAAGGCCGAACCCTCTACTATTACCACAAGGATCGAATTGAACCATTATTTCATCCACACACTATACATTTGACCAAACGTTGAGTCTATTCTCTCGTTAATAGGTGGTTGCCATGCCTTCATCTACTCACCCAGGATACTTCTATCCTATGGAGAACAGCATGAAATGACATAACAAGCAGTTGTTCAAGTTAGCAAAAGAAACCATTTACTATGCATGGTCTGAAACAGGTGCTCCGTTAAAAATTTCTATCTCTTTGGTATCTCCCCTCCAATACTTTATCAGTAGATCTTTTCTTTCATCCAACCAAAAAGCAGTAGGTATTAGCATAGTCATGCAACCACAAACGAAGGATCTCATACAAGCTCACCATCAAAAAAGACGAAAAGTATTGTTGGGTCCAAGAAATGCCCTAAGCAAGTACAAAACACCAGACGGGAGGATTTTATATGGTACTAAACGCGAATTCAGGAATGCTCCACTTAACACCAACAACTCTCTGGGATTAGCTGGCCACATTTTTAAAAATAGCGTTAACGATCATCTACCATCTGGTTATTTCGTTATGGACCATAAACCTATATGGGAGCCTGTTCGTGAGCGAAAAATAGAATTAGAGGTATTTTGTCACTAGCATAGCCTCCGCGTCCCGATAACAAGGTCAACGGACTTGTTATAGGACCACAAACCAATGATGCAAGCGTATTACATAGACTACAGCGAGAAGTTATGCAGATGGAGCGTAGGCTTCACAGGTTCCACCAAATTCAGGCCGCAAAAAGACATGGTATTGGAAAAGAATTTGATGTTCAGCACATTTTAGCAGATCCCATGCTTATATCTGACCCGGGCCTATCTGACTTTACTGAATCAAGCGACGATGACTTTCAAAGGTACATACTCGATTGTCTAATGCATGATGGTGTTCCCAGGTGTTGTATGGGATACGACTAATAACAAGGGATGTAGTCCAATGTTTGTCAGGGTAGCGATAAAACTTATACTCATTATAATCTCTATTCAAACAAATTGCTTACCCCATTTGGATATTAATCATGCCTGTTAAACATTCGTAACTAGTTGTAACGTAACAGTAACATATACCTAACTGGTTGTAACCCATTGTGTACTGTTCGTTCTTTTTTTTTTTTGTTGCATTGTAAAACTTCATTTTAACGTTACAAATTAGTTCTCCAAAGAATCATTTTCTTATGCGGCAACTATTACCAACATGTGCTCGTGACCTGGCTTGACCATAATTGAATTAACCTAAAAACTTGTAATACCAATTGATGTGCCTGTGATACATCATGTCAATGGTGTGCTAAATTCGTCAAGCGATGCAAAACAAATGGTCTCAATGATAATGTTTTTATAAAAATACCCCAATAATAATTCGAATTTAGCATCGTAACAAAATGAAGATAATTTGTACTTTAGATTGTCTTATCTGATACATCTTACCTTTGGCGGTGCGATCTATGCAATAAATATGTTATTAGGGTATGCAATTGAATGTAGTAAAATGTATATATATCACGACAGCCATTCAACTGTTATGGTAGATTTAGTGAAAAATATCTGAACACCAAAAAAACACGTTCAATTCTATTGTAAAATTATTACTTCAATTTTCTACCAACATAACATAACCTTTTAATGACTACTAACACTAGATGCAATTACAATTGTAATCCACTTGTCTAAGTTTGAAAAGAGTGAAACATCAATGGTGCCTGTACAACCTCCTCAATAAGTTGTAACAGCTTATTAACTGCTTGTAACGTATATATGCAGCATTCCCAAGTTGGGACAACCACTTAATGTCTTGTTTAAAAATTATAGGTACACATCATTCATCAACCTCATTCTCGGGGGAGGCGATGTCAACGCGTAGTTGCAATTTTTGGGTGTTATTTCTTCTCTGAAATGCGTAACGATGGCAAATCAGCTAATATTATTAATGAAACATACGGTTAATGATATACGATATTCAAGTATCCAATTAACAACATTACATAAATATGTGCTCTAACGATAAAAATTTATCACTTAGGGTGATGGTGAAAATACATGATATGCATCAATATCACAGTGTATTGAAATTGCCGCACGCTCCTCCTATATTATATAATATAAGTATTCGACTGTCAACAAATCATTACCAGTGCCTATATTGCTCACTTACAAAGTTAAATTGGACTAGACATTATAACAAAATGATATATCAGACCATTAAAATATCTCTGACGGAGTTATACTTGAAAAAAATAGAAAATTTGGGATGCATTCATTCTATAGGGACACTTCCAGGAGGCCCCTGATTAGCCAAACAGTGGACTTTCGAATATTATAAAACAATATGTTATTAAAACGATCATACATTAACTACATAATATGCATGATTTGACAGCGTTCGGTGCCCACCATTATAATTAAAGAAAAAAAGTAGCTCTACTATACGAACAAGAAAGTCTTTATTTTATCTACTAAATGTATGCATACCGTTTCACTTTCATCGATTTCGGGGCAACAGCCTTTGGGGGGCATTCACTGTCTGGCTCATTGAATGCATCTACGAGTTTTGTATGGGCCAAATAATTGTATAAGACAAACAAAATAGGTATATCAGGAGGGATGACGGCCGTAACAACATTATCACACAATGAAACATCAATGTAACTATTTATGCTGTTAGAAACATCCAAATAAAAGCAAGAGTCATATCCATTTTATACTAACCGAAACAGAGTCAGTAGATGAACGGCAACCCATAAACATGTGTTCCTCAAATGAAATCGATGTTGGCTCCGATTCTGAGACCTATAGTATTGACATGACAATAATATTATTTCATAATGAATGGTATCTAAACTTTAGTTAATAGTATAACGATAACATTGTTTTAGCATAAATGTTCCCTAAATACCAAAATTGAATCCATACCGTAGTCTGTGTAGTCCTTAACAATCTAGATTTTCTTTTTACTCTGTTAAATTTATCGACCCAACTTCACATCACTCTACTTTTCTTCCCACCGGCTCGTTTTTTAATGCCTCTTGTGACTACTGCCTCTCCCATTTCATTTACAATTTCAATTTTATCCCGTTCCTCCATATTCAGATTTTTTTACTTTTGCAAAGGTTGCTCTTCGCTTTCTGAGAGGAGGAGCTCAACTCTTTTTGCCAAATCGGATATGACAGTGATTACTACTTTGTTGTGTGTCCTCCGACATTGTTGCTTGATTTACGACCTTAATCATGGCTGGAGAGAGCTCCCGATAACGAGTTGAAATGATTACTTTTGGATCAGCCACAATTTCCCGTCCTCGCCGGTCAAAACAGTCTCCAGTCCGAGCTCTTTTTGTCCATCGCCTCTTAACATATTCAGGAGGAATTATTTTCATGCCCACGGTATCAAACACCTTCAACACGTGCCCACACAAAATTCCTTCATTCTCGTATTTTTTGCAACTACAACGTACACTTAGATCATTCCGATTGAATACCACTATTCTTTCAGGTCTTCCATCATACCTCATGACCGCGAACTTCACAAACATCCCTGCATCTTGTTGTCTCAATATAACCATAGCTGTTGACTTGCCACATTCATTTTGGAATGCAACAAATACGGTTGGTGAATACGTCTCTGATGCATACACAAGCATAGATGTTTGTCTTAACCCTACTATGGGGAGTTTTTACCTCATTTCATATTCTGCGATCAGTTCATTATGTATCTTTTCATCAACCACCCGATTGAAATGTCTAAAGAACTGCACAAGGTCATGATCCAGTTTCAAATGATTTTTAATTGCTGCATTTAGGCTTTTGCTAAGTTGGGTGCTTCGCATTCCCATAGTCTATCTTTCTTTCATTAAGCACCTTGCCCATTTATCACGAATTCGATACAACCCGGAGAACCATTCATTATTTTCAAGATTGTGTTTCTTCACCATCGCCTCCCACACCCTATTGAATTGTTCTACTTCTTCAAATTCATACATGCAGGCACCAAACATGTATAGAAGATCACTATTTTTCTTGTAGTGATTGCCAAGATGTTTCATAAAATTATACTTTATGTGAAACGTACATAGACCGTGAAATGTTTCAGGCATGACAATTGAAAGAGCGGCTACCATGGCGTGATCTTGATCGGTTAGTATGGTACTTGGACGCTTTCCGCACATTGATTCTAGAAATGTACCAAATACCCATTTGAAAGAATCTATAGTCTCATCATACATAAGGGCAGCACCGAATATCACAATTTGTCTATGTTGGTTAAAACTCACAAACACTCCAAGTGGCCGGTATTCTTTATTTGTTTTGTAACTTGTGTCGAATGTGACTACGTCTCCAAAAAAGTTGTAGTCAATTAACATTCCTGCATTAGCCCAAAAGATATTCGTTATCTGCTCTTCACAGTCCAGCTGTACGGTATGAAAAAATGATGGATTCTCGAGTGTTTGCTCTTGAAAATAATTCAGCTTGCTACCTGCTTCTCTATATTTCACACTCATTTCCCGTCGAGTACGAAGATATCGTTTCAGGTCTTCCCGAGTATATCACACATTTTCCATCCTACCTGCCTCCTTTCCCATAAGCTCATGACTCTGTTTCAATGAAAGCCCAGCATCCTCGCTTATTTCAGCTTGGAATCCTTGAGCCTCACTTATTTTTCTTTGTGATGGCATCATGTGCGAACATTGAACAATGTGCAACTCATGGTTATGTTCTAAGACAAGGTCATGCACACGGTACTTCATTGTCCCTCTAAGCAACACGATAACCATTTTAGCTCCACACCCCGTTTTTTGTCGCGCGTTCGTGTCCTCTTTGGCATCACATCACCTTTGTACTTGCATTTTACACCTTCTTTGCAACAACTATATCTCCTAGATGTGGTCACACCGTCTTTGTCTTTATTTAGATAGTCTTTGCGTACACTAAAATCCATTTTAAATGCATATTTGTTGTAAAACTTGTACGCATCATCTTCACTGTTGAACTCCATTCCTAATTCAGGCGGTCCATCTTTTGCCAATTTTGCTACAATCCATTACTTCTGCTCCGACCAATTATGCATCAAACACCATAATTTGTAACAGTTCATGAATAGTATGTACATAACGACAACATAAATGTATATTACCATTCATAATGTGTTATGTTACACACATTACTCGTATACCAAATCCTATTATTACGCTCATCGATATGATTAATGTTGTACAAATACTCGTATACCAAATCCTATTATACTCTAAGACAACGGCATTATGTATGTACAAATACAACTCCGTGTACAATAAGTTATACGTACTGTAATGTGTTGGTCACATGATGTAAGTATATTTTAACTGTATGTACATCCACTCGGGTGATTATATTTAGGTTCTAGGTACTTTGTTTCACTGGATCTTATGTCATTCGTCAATGACAACCGTCTAAGCCAACTCCGCATTTTCTACTATTTCTATATTTTGAGGGCCAAACAAGCATTTTCTACTCATTGTAATATATTTATATATATCATATAATTTACTTACAACACCAGGTACACCCATTTATTATTCACATAGGTCGGTCTTTTCCTCTACTTCACCTCATTCAACTCTGTACCTCCATTTTATACACACTGCATGGTCAGGAGAGAGGGGCAAACTAAGATTGTGTCATGAATATGGACCAACTACTGGATGCACAATGATTCATATCAATTGTAATACAGTACCTATAACCTGTAACTAATTTACAACAGGATGTACATTCATTCACTTGTTAAATGTGACTTATTTTTCTCATCTTTCCCTAATTCCGCTTTGCTTGAATACATACCCCTGGGTCTTCCGATAACTACTATCCCATTATAATCCATTACTGAAAAGCTGAATGCTCACACACACACACAGAAATATCATACAACTTTACTATTCTTCTATCATCTTCATATGATGTCTTTAGTGAATCTAATTTCATCCTTCATTTAACAGATGTGCATTTGGGTGACAAATGATTGGCCACAGTTAGTTACATGGTTCAGTCACGTTACCTTGGTCTGCTAATACGCTCTATGTTTCACCAAACTCAGAGAGCGCAGCTGCTTCTGCTATTAAGTTGAAGGACAAAATCTGGTGTTTTATGAGATGCTAAATTTCCTCTGTTTGCTTCTACCTTGCCGCCTGCCTTGTAAGCATTTGAAATGGATAGAACATTTGCTGACCCAGTCACCGAAGTCTCTTCTCAGTTTCTCGGTAACACTCTCGGACGGAAACTGAGAAAAGAGTTTTCTGAGAAAAGAAAACTGAGATAAGACTTTTCTGTCAACTCCCTATCTTCAGACGGAGTACGCCAAGACTCTTCCCCCAATTTTGTTTTCTGCAGCTAATTCAAAATTTCAACTTGCTTTTCAAAATTTCAACTCTATCGTTTGCTCCGTCTGATTCCGTTTGGAAGTCAAAAATTTTTTATTTCGAACAGCGTCGTTTTTACCCTTCTTAAGCCTTCCTGACGTGGATCATTTTTCTCCCCATGTTTTTACCTGTGAGAGGACCGTTCAGGAGCAGTCGGCTTGATGACTGTCCTGCCCCTAATCGAGGACTCGGCGCACGGACGGTTGCAGGTCAACCGTCCCTGCCAAATTTTAGTCATTATCAACTGCGCGTAACTTTCTTTGTACATGCTGTAACTTTTTTTTCACAGGATGTATTTTCACAACAGATAGTGGTGGGGCCCACACTTGGCGCGGAAATCGAGTTACATGGTGTAATCTCAGCCGCACAAAATTTTGAGGGCCAATCTTGGCCCTTAACCTGCCCCAAATCCCTAATCCGAAATTTGCTAATATAAGATTCAAGTAGCTAACAACCAAACAACGTGCATTCAAATTGGATGCTTGGGAGAAAGACGTGTCGGATTGCAGTTATTTAAGTGTCGGCCGACATGTTGCTGTCACATTCATAAATGTGCAATTCGTTGATAATCTGGCAACACCCAAGGGGGCAATAACAGGAGGCTGGAGAGATTGGATATATAGTAGTCACAGATTTGTGACAAAAATGGGCGCTGGACACGAGACCTCTTTTTCACTACCCTTCAAACCAATGGTTCTTTTCTATGATGTCCATAGTGACTAAGAGACAACTGTTGATTAATTTTGAAGACTTGGGATGTGAACACTTCTATAGTCTTCACGTGAACCCTTATGGAATTAAATTATGCCGTCAGTGGGTGAGATACTTTAATGTCAAATTCTTAATACCAAATATATACATGTCCAAACACTTTTTGAGAACTTTTTCCAAAGCTAAATTAAACAAGTTAATATTCCATTCCAAATGCATTCACTATATATATTGCAACCAGTTACCTCTCTTAGTTGGACTGATGAACTAATAGACCGCAATAGTATATATTAAACTAATCCGATTCTTGATTTGCCTACTTTTTTATTGCAATAAAGTGATTCCAATCTAGTTATCAGGATATGGTGTTGTGTATCTTTTTGCTCTTAAATCTAATTCTTCATTAAAAAAATTAAAAAAAAAACTCCTTTGATTCTTTTATGTAAAATTTGTTAATTAGAAATTCCTAATTTCATATGTATTTTCATATTTTTTATCCACACAAAATTTTAAAATTTAACCAAACAATATGAATCAATATAATTTTATTATCTCTCTTCTTTTCTTTTGTTTTCTTTTTTTTTTTTGAACGAATTTGATTTTTAATTCAATAGATTGGCCATTTGTATGTGTGTGTGTCATTTTATTGGACCATATAATAATAAAAATTAGGGTTAAAAACCAAAAAACCCTCTATAATGTACCTAATACACAGAAAGTCCCTCTGTGGTTTCAAAACATACAAACGACACCTCATGTTTTGAACTAAATTGTAAACTAACAGAATTCGTTAAACTTAACGAAAATGACAATTTCGGCTATTAAATTTACCAGATTCAGCTAAATTTATCATTAAATTTACCGGATTCCGTTAAGTTTAACAAATTCTATTAGTTTACAATTTAATTCAAAATATGAGGTATCGTTTTATATATTTAAAACCATGAAGAGCTTTTCTATGTATTAAGTATACCAACAAAAAGCTTTTTTTATTTTTAACCGTAAAAGTAATATATCAATTATTTAAAATTTTTTGTATAACATCATTGGCTGATAATTGCTAGCTCAATAATTAAACCAATGATAAAAATAAAACTTTTCTGGTTTAACAAATAATGTTGGGTTACAAAATCTTTGAAAATTTGTCAATTAACTATTGGAATGTTAGAATTCTTTTTGACTGATATAAATTCATGAACATATTTGCCAATCATCAATTATACCTTAATTTGTTTGTATTGGCAACCTTCAGGCTGTAGTTAATAGTGCTCCCATGCTTAAAATAGCTAGGCTATTTTACAATTTTTCTAGCCAAGATTAAAATATATAATGGTGTGAGACTTTTTTCAGCAGCTTAACAAGAGAAAACCTACAACTTATCAACTGTTTTCTTCTTTCTACAATTTACATTAGCTAAAAAGGGTACTTCGAAAAATGCAGCACATAATGGTGCTTGCCGATTCAAACTGCTTAGGTACTTCATGCTTTAACTGAGGGTTTCTTGTTCTTGATTTTCTATGGAACTATTAGCTTTGCTCCGGAATATGCACTCCCTGGAACCTCAACTAAAGTTCCTTCTCTTCTATACCATCCCAAGCTTCGACCTGTTGATGTTTCTGAAACTAAATAAAGATACATAATGAGATACTCAGAAACATGATAAAAAGCAATCCTTAGAAACGTAATTTCTAAAGGAAACCTCTAGATTGCTGTCAATTGCGTCATGCATTTGAGGACCATCCAATTTCTTCATTGCAGCCTCAAGTTCTCTCTTTGCATCTGCTCTTGTTATACGTCGTTCAGAACATTGTGCAGCAGTAACATCTGCATGGCAAGCAATGCAAAGGGTCCGCATATTCTCTAGTCTGCATTCACCTGTACAAAACCATGAAGTGCAACTTATATTTAAGAAACTGGAACATCTTTCTTTCAAGATCCAGAGACGATGATGTTCATAAGCAATAATGTTCAGAAATTTGATGATCAAGTACCTCCTCCTTGATACAGGTACAAGATGGTCTGCATGCCACGCATTGCCCTCCGTGGGATCTTGAATAAGCTTGTCAAATCTGCCGAGAAAAATTGAGATATTATCACCAAGAATGCAACTGCAGTACTAAATCAGCACAACGAATTGTACACAACGAATAAGAAAGGGGTCAATGTAATGCTAAGTTGCCTTTTTTGAGGATTGTATACTTCATATGTAACTTGAGGACTTCCACTTTTTTTTGTTAATTTCTGCTATTTGTTTCTAAAACACCTTCCCATCCCCATTTTGAGATGCATCTTAGGTATAGGAAATTGTAATATCTTCCGCATGATAGACAGTCCCAAGTTTTTTGGCTGAGTACAAAATAGCATTACTAGTCAGATAATATGACTCAACAGATATGTTCCCGCTGCTAAGTCTATACACTGGTGCTGTAATGATTTTCAAATAGCTTTTGATGGATTAACACACAACCCCCGCAACCCCTGGCCCCCAGAGAGAACCAAAAGTAAAACTCAAACTATCAGAAAAGTTAGTCTGACAAGCTACATATAGCGTTTAAGCATTAGAAATTGACAGGCATAATTATCTGATCATCATGTTCTACAAGACTTAACTGCAAAGAGTTTAGAAGCACATGTAAGAGAAAATCACACCTATAATCTACTTTAAAAAA